GTAAAGTGTTCAACCACTGGTATTAAGTAGAAAAAAAATATAAAAAAAAATAATAAATTGTTCCTCAACAGACAAGCCAGGGCTGTTCAAATCATTGCTTTCCATAGTGTCAATTTTACTTCTACAGGTTTCCTCTTAGGTGCTTTGTTAGTTATCACAAATCAGGGAGAACATATGGTATTTGTCCCCTGGAACTGGCATATTTAACTAAGTATGATGTTTTCCAGATTTATCCATTTTGTTGCAAATGACCAATTTATTTTTACCCACTGTGTAATATTCCATAGAGTACACACCCCATAATTTCTTTATCCAGTCTTCCATTGACAGGCATTTAGGTTGATTCCATGTCTTAGCTATTATGAATTGAGCTTCAATAAACGTGGGGATGTGGATAACTCTTTTGTTTACTGATTTCATTCCCCTTGAGTAAATTCCAAGGAATGGGATGGCTGGTTCCTATGGTAGGGTTATACTCAGCTTTCTGAGGTATCTCCCAACTGTCTTCCATAGTGGTTTTACCAGTTTGCATTCCAACCAACAGTGGATGATTAGGGTACCTTTTCCCCTACATACTCACTAGCATTTGCTGTTTGTTGATTCCTGAAAGAAAGCTATTCTAACTGGGGTGAGGTGAAACTACATTATGGTTCCGATTTGCATTTTCTTAAGGGCTATTGATTCTGAGCATTTTTCATGTGTCTGTTGGCCATATGACTTTTCTCTTTTAAGAAATGTCTATTTAGGTGCTCTGTCCATTTTTTGACTTGGTTGTTTGTTTTGCTGTTGTTGAATTTTTTGGCCACTTTATGTGTTCTGGTTGTTAATCCTTTATCACTTGCATGATTTGCAAATACTTTCTCCCAATCTGTTGTTTGACTCTTTACTTTCCTATTTCTTTTGCTATACAGTAGCTTCTCAATTTGATGTAATCCAATTTGTTAATTTTGGCTTTTATTGCCTGTGCCTCTGGGTTTTTTTTCAGGAACTCTTTGCCTGTTCCAATGTTTTGCAGGATTTATCCAATGATCTCTAATAATTTGATTGTATCTGGCCATAGATTTAGATCTTTAATCCATGTTGAGTGGATTTTTGTGCAAGGTGTAAGGTAGGTTCCTGCTTCATACTTCTGCATGTAGAAATCCAGTTTTCCCAGCACCCTTTTTTTGAAGAGACTGTCCTTGCTCCAGGGAATGGTTTTAACTCCTTGGTTGAATATAAGTTGCTTGTAGATGCTTGGATCAATTTCTGACATTTCTATTCTATTCATTGGTCTATCCATCTGTTTTTGTACCGGTACCATGCTGTTTTGATTACAACTGCCCTGTAGTATGTCTTGAAATCTGATATTGTGATGCCCCTGGTTTTGTTTTTGTTGTATGATTCCTTTGGCTATCTGATGTCTCCTATTGAGAATTTTCAGCGTCATTTTTTCTATATCTGAGAAGAATGTCTTTGGTATTTTGATTGGTATTGCATTGAATCTATAGGTTGCTTTGGAAGAATGGACATTCTGATTATATTAATTCTTCTAATCCATTAACATGGAAGTTCATTCCATTTTTTTTGTTGCTTTAATGTTTTGTAATTCTCATCATAGAGAATTCCTTCTGGAATTCCTGTGATCTATATATTGGGTCATTTGATAGAATCTTGCAGATCTCCAACTGTGTTTTTTAGTTTTCTAATTTCTTTTATTTGGTCTGATTGTCTTATTTCCAGAAATTTGCCTTCTAGTTCTGCTATTCTTTCTTCTGTCTCACCTATCCTTTTGCTAAGGGTTTCTACTGCATTTTTTTATTTGATCTATTGAATTCTTCATTTCTAGTATTTCATTCTGACTTATCTTTAATATCTCAATTTCTTGGGATCACTTTTCATTTAGATCATGAATTTGTTTCTACTTACTTCAAAGTAATCTGATAATTAATTTTTTGAATTCTGCTTCTGGCATATCCTTGATTTCTTCTTCTTCAGCTTCTGTTATTGAAGAGTTGTAGTGTTCCTTTGTTCCATAGTGTCTTCTTATTCTTATTTAGGTTTTTTCCTTTGTTTTTTGACCTTTCTCATTGCTTTTCTCTTTGATATATGTTTTTGTGCTTATGGTGAGATTTCCCTCTGCTATGAGCTGTTATGTGTCTGTGCATTGCAGGAGGAAGCACGCAGCCCTGCCTCCTGGAGTCCTGCTCACTTCTAGATCATGATGGGGGTGCCTATGAGAGCTCTGGTGCACTAAGCCCCGCTTACTGGGGCTGTGCTCACTTCTCACTAGGTCATGAAACAAGCTCGAGATTTCAATATTTTGGACTTCTCCTTGTTGTACAGCTTGCATAGTCAGGGGAGGAATTCACTCTGAAATGTGATCCTGAGTGAGGTGTGTTTTGAATTGGCCCCCCACAATTGATGGACATGTGCACAGGAAGCAAATGTGGTAGCCCCATGCTTACATTGGAGTATGTAAACAAACAATATAGCTGCTCCCAGGCAGCTGCAGCTCCAGTTGGGAGGAGGGGAGAGACAGCCTGGTATCACTACCTATAGGTAGTGGAGGCAGTACTGTTGGTGCCCTGCAGATCTGGGACTGTTGCCATTAGCACTACAATCCCTTCAGTAACTCACTCTCAAATGTAGTATTGGGAGAGACTTATCCACATTCCTGGTGAATTCTAAACCTTTATTTTAATCTGTTTTCTTTTGCTTCTAAAATTCAGGTTCTTCATCCCAATTCAATGTGGCATACCCATTTGGAATAAACATCTCAATTATTAAACATTCAAAGCAGAGTTCTTAATCTTCAACATCAACTTAATTGTTCACTTGTTATCTACATGAATGCCATTTACATTTAATATCTCAGCCCCAAAACATGGGCTTTCATGTTCCTCTATTTCTTCAACATATTGTACGGAACATCACTAAGTTCTATAGAATTTCCAATCAAACTGACCTAAATTATCCACTCTTTTGATTTCTAGTGATAAACATCTAGTTTTACATTGATATATGAAATGACTTCTTAACTAATTCCAGTGTCTCCTTTCTGTTCCTCTTCTTGCCCCTATTAAACCAGTCACTGTATAGTAAGCCAGAAATTTTGAAGTTGCAGTCTATCACTCAACTTCCTAAAAATCTCCAAATATGCATGATTGCTTTTAGAATAAAATGCATCTCTCTCACCACCCCAAGAAATAATATATAAAGTAATTTAAAAAAATAAAGAAATAGGAGCATGCATTGTAATTAGGTCTCTGCCATCCACATGGGAGACTTGGATTGAGTTCCCAGATCCCAGCTTTGATCTAGCCTACCTAGCCTAAACTAGTGGGCATCTGGGGTAATGGATCAGTAGATTTCTCTCTGTGGCTCTCTGTCTCTATCTGTCTTTCAGTATCTCCGCCTCTCAAATAAATAAAAATAAAAATAATTTTTAAAACAAGAATTAACTCAACTTATAAAACTCTATATGATCAAATCCTTATGTATTTCTCTGACCTTATATCATTTTGTGGTGGCTTGTACTCAACTACTTAGGGCCCTGGACTAGCTCAATTCTTTGCCTGAAAGATTTTCTTTAATTTTACCATGATGGTGTCTCCTTAATATTGGGTTTTGATTTAAATGTCTCTCCTTCAGAAAAAAGATTTCCAATTAATTCAACCTGAAATAATTCCATGGCACATCATATTCTTGTTTTCATCATAACACTTTTAACTTTTCATTTTGCCCTGATTGCTAGTTAACTTTTAATAACTTCAAGGAAATAATGGAGAAAGAAAACCTTATAAAGAGTAAAGTTTATTTAGCTCACAATTTTGGAGGCTCAGGTCCAAGATTGGGCAGCTTCTTTTGGCCTTTGATGATAATGGCAATTGCAGAAGTTGGAATGCAGGTGGATGGAGCCAGGAAGCAGATAGAAAGACTGGGCTAACTCATATCTATACCCAATCCTCTCTCTCTCTCTCTTTTTTTTTTTTTTTACAGGCAGAGTGGACAGTGAGAGAGAGAGACAGAGAGAAAGGTCTTCCTTTTGCCGTTGGTTCACCCTCCAATGGCCGCCGCGGCCAGTGCGCTGCGGTCGGCACACTGCACTGATCCGAAGGCAGGAGCCAGGTGCTTCTCCTGGTCTCCCATGGGGTGCAGGGCCCAAGCACTTGGGCCATCCTCCACTGTGCTCCTGGGCCATAGCAGAGAGCTGGCCTGGAAGGGGGGCAACCGGGACAGAATCCGGCGCCCCGACCGGGACTAGAACCCAGTGTGCCGGCACCGCTAGGTGGAGGATTAGCCTATTGAGCCACGGCGCCGGCCCCAATCCTCTCTTGAGAGTTACCTTTTTTCATTTTTTCTGTAATTTTGATTAATTTTCAAGAAACACAATATGATTTAAAGATACAAATCTAAGAACCTAATGGCATTCCCTTCCTCCCTCCCATACTCTTTTCTTCTGAGAGAACACCCAGTGGTGTAAAGATCTCCCACTAGGCCCACAAATTTAAACACCCCATTTTTTGGTATTGTTGTCTGCAGTGGAATGTAAGCTCCATAAGAAGATGGATTGCATCTGTTTATTCTTAGTAGACTCTCAGTAATTGCTCCTTGATGAGTTATGAAAGTTCAGATGAAGGACTAACATTCATGTATATTTCAGGAAAAGATTAAGAACTTATTGAAGTCTAGGCAACAATAGTTTGAGTTAATTAAAAGTTTAAATTATACTTTTGAAAATGAACTTCATTACTTTCAGGTAACCTAATCTAGGTTAACAAAGAAAACCTGCTAAGGAACTTGTTTTAAGAAACAGAAGACAATGAATTACTATTATAGCATTGATTACTATTATGCAGAAAATGAGCCTAAGAGCTTTAAATAATTATTTTAAATCAGATAAATATTGCTCCTGTGATTTCTTTTCTTACTCTACTTTGTCTTTAAAAACTTGACTTTCTCATGTTTACAAGGTAAATTTCACCCTAGTCTATGATTGAATAATTATACATTTTTAATTGTTTGAGCCTGAAATAAGGCAATTCATGTAGTAAAATTGAAATTTTAGAATACTTGGTGTGTATAAGTTAATCTATGAGTGTGTTAGCTCATTTTCCAGCATGTTTTTCTCAAAATTTTAAGTGTATTAATCATTGGAGGACAAAAATAGATTCCAAAATGCTAAATAGCAATCTTGAAATATGTCAGATCTTATTTTTTTTAAGATTTATTTGTTAATTTGAAAGGCAGAGTTACAGAGAGTGAGGTCGGGGCACAGAGAAGGAGAGAGATCTTCCATCTGTTGGTTTACTCATCAAACATTCACAATGGCCAGGGCTGGGTCAGGCTTAAGCCAGGACCCAGGAGCTTCATTCAGGTCCCACACATGGGTGCAGGGGCCAAATACTTGTTCCATCTCTGCTGTTTTCCCAGGCTCATTAGCAGAAGTAGAGCAGTAGGACACGAACCGTTCCCCATATGAGATGCCTGTGCTATAGGTGATAGCTTAACCCACTGTGTCACAGTGCCAGCCCCGTGTAAAATATTTAAGATCTAGGAACTGGGTATAAAGTTGTGTCTTGGTACCAGCACGGCACTAATTTACTTTGTAATCTGTTGGTGACAGATAATTCTCTTATCTCTAGAAAACACTGATTAAACTCCTCTAACAATGTATTATTTCCTGGTTTCCTTCCGAAATTCTGCATTGATCACCAATTATGTGGCAGGCACTCTTTGATGAAACATCTACAATGATGAGAAACACATTCCCAGAACATTAAAAATGTATGTTATAGTTGAGATGGGAGGATAAGTAAATAGACAATAGCCAATATTATGAGAAGTAAAAAAGCCTATGTAAAGGTGGTATTAAAAGGGCTTATAACATGAGGGAGAGGGAAGTCCTATTCACGTACACCTGCTAGAAGATATGTCATCTGTTGTGAGTCTTGAATGCTGTAAATTAAATGCTTGTCAGATAATATGGAAGGAAAGAATACTTTTAACAGGTTGAAATTTCAAGGTCTTAGCATTCAGGGAATGAGAGAATGAGGGCATTTTTGGAAACTCAAGGTGGATTGTCATGGCCACAGTTCAGAACATGAGCGGATGTTGGTGTTAGACGAAGCTGCACTTCTGCACAGAGATCAGTTCATCATGGCCTCACAAGGCATCTCAGGGCAGGAAATAGAGTGAAGAACCTAGGTTCCAATCACGGCTCTGTCATGTTTCAGCAATGAGCTTTTTACAACTCTAAGAAGCTCACCCATTTTGAACATCTCTACATTGTTAATAAATTAGAAGTTCTCTTCAAAAGTACAAGTGAGCAGTTGTAAAAGTGTTGTACATGTAGACATTTTGACTTCGACATATATTCATTGGCTAATTTAAAATATATTCCATATTTGAAAATATTTAATTTAGTGTAAGTTTATGAATTGGATTACCTTGTGGTCTTGCATAAACCACCCCAATTCTGTGTAATGTATGATTCTCCATCGTTGTTTCTTTAAGAAGAGTGAGAAGTTAGCCATTTGTGAAGCAGTCTGTCTACATTCTGCCAATTTTTATTACGGCTGCCAATCATAAACTCAACAGAAATTCTTTTTATTTATTGATCATTCTTAGACTCTGGAAATATTCTACTTAATGTTTATAGAAAACAACTCTCTTTAGGAATTTTTCTTTTTTTGCTTGTGAATAATTAAGTAAATGATATGATATCAGAATCTAAAGGTTTAAGATTGGACACGATGATTCTTGGTGCCATTGAACTTAAACTTTGGACTGAAAAACTAACATTCTTCAGTACTCTTTAGCACTGATAAGTAGCCTAGTGGCTATGTTTTCATTATGTGAGGAGCATTGGAGTATATAATTGAGAGGGTAGAGAGTGTCAATTAATTTACAGAGTCCTATAGGTAAAAGGTTTTTAGGATTCTTTTTTGTGGCATCTATCTTATAATGTTTATGCAAAGTTTTAATGAGATTTCACAAAAACAGAGTACTTGATGTGCCATAAATCTTAAAGACATTATATTACTTTCAGTCATATTTAATTACTGCTTATCGCTTAATAGGAGAAGTTAGATAGTTTTCTTTGATATTTTGCTCTAGGCCAACCTTAGTCTATGTTGTGCTTCAGTAAGAATTAGTTAAAACCACCTCAAAGGAGGAGATGAGGTATGTCAAGACAATGGTTTATGAGAAAACTACGCTTTGGGGTGAACTAGAAACAGTGTTCCTTATTTCAGAAGCATGTCTTGACTCCTGGCTTCTGGACTGGACATCAGCTGGTTTTTTTGAAAGATAGAGTTACAGAGGGGGTAGAGACAGAGAAAGAGAGAGGTCTTCCATCTGCTCGTTCACTCCCTAGATGGCCACAACTGCCGGAGCTGCGCCGATCCGAAGGCAAGAGCCAGGAGCTTCCTCCGGGTCTCCCCCGTGGGTGCAGGGGCCCAAGGACTCGGGCCATCCTCCACTGCTATCCCAGGCCATAGCAGAGAACTGGATCAGAAGAGGAGCAGCCGGGACTAGAACCAATGCCCATATGGGTTGCGAGCACTTCAGGCCAGGGCGTTAACCTGCTGCACCAAAGCGCCGGCCCCATCAGCTGCTTCTTGCCCTTTTTGCTGGCTGCCGTTATATGAGGAGCTGTGGGAACAAGCTTGCATTGCATGATTGGATGAGAATCCCAGAGTTGCAGAGATGAAGCCTTTGAGGCTGTGGTGCATCTTGGGCATTGTGAACTTGGCTGCTGAGGTCGAGGGTTCTGGTCTTCCCTAGTTACTGGGGGGAAAAAAAATCCTTATTTCTTCTAGGTTAAAAAATCTATTCTTCTCTTGTCATTTCTCTATATCTAGCTTGCAGATTTACATCAGTTTGTCCCCAGGAAGTACACATTGGTGAGAAAGGCTCTCATATTTCTCCCTCAGCTAGAAGGGATGTGGATTGAGTGTCTATAAGGGAAGACTCTCTGGCTAACAAAATTCATCCATATGTATGATGTTTCTCCTCCTTCAAACAGCATGACATAAGAATAGAAAAATGTGGACTAAATAACAGTTTCCTGTATTTTTCTTACTTGGATAGAGAATTGCATAACTTAATCCTATGCTGTCTATTCCATGAGTTATGTATGAACTAATGCAAAATTTGCTTCAAATTGGAGGAAACTTCTCATTCTTCCGGTCCCTCTCAAATGTCACAAATTTCATAAGGCAAGCAAAATTTAATTTCACATAATTTAAACTTGGGGATTCAGCCATCTTCCTTCTTGGATTTCCTGCTGGTATTCACTGCAAACTTGAAAATTTCTAGTAGGATAATTTTATCTCTTGGAAGCCATATACACATGAAATCACAGGTTAGTTGCATTTTTCTTGTCCTTAGGTATTTTTTCCCCTTCCTACTTTGTTCTATGAAATGTCCTTCAGTGGAAGTCATGTGTTTCCTTGATCCCTTTCTCTGCTAAATATGTTTTAATTCTTGACAGGGTTCTTTACATTGGGGCTTACTCATAACCTCATGACCAGGTTATATGAAGAACATGTCCTGATTTATTCAGCAAAATTATCAGGGAAGAAGAAGCCCTAGCAACAGGTCATACAAGTCCTAGTAAAAAGGTTAGCTGTGTTGACTGTTAGGGCCTGCTTTGTCTTTTCATGGATAAAAAGGGCTTTTGATTAAATCAGGGAAGGGTATGATAAAAGGGTGAAAATAATATTAAATTTGCTGATGAAAACATAAGATTACTAAAATAACAAACTATCAGTAAGGGCAAGATAATGTGTATAATTTAGAGTAAAAACAAATTATTTTTTATTTTAATAACGCCAAGAAAATAGGCCGGCACCACGGCTCACTAGGATAATCCTCCGCTTGCGGCGCCAGCACACCAGGTTCTAGTCCCCGTTGGGGCGCTGGATTCTGTCCCGGTTGCTCCTCTTCCAGGTCAGCTCTCTGCTGTGGCCCAGAAAGGCAGTGGAGAATGGCCCAAGTGCTTGGGCTCTGCACCTGCATGGGAGACAAGGAGGAAGCACCTGGCTCCTGGCTTCAGATTGGCACAGCGCGCCAGCCGTGGCGGCCACTTGGAGGGTGAACCAACGGAAAAGGAGGACCTTTCTCTCCATCTCTCTCTCACTGTGTAACTCTGCCTGTCAAAAATTAAAAAAAAAATGCCAAGAAAATACCTTGCATATTTTTTCAACTTTTACCTTTATGCTCTTTAGCATAATTTAAACTTTATCCTTTCTCAAATATCTCTTATTTTGCTTATCCATAAGGAGTAATATCTTGATTTTCTGAGCTCTCTCTCTTAAGGTTCTTATAGTTTCTAGCTTTCTTAGTTTATATTGTGTTTATATTGTACCTTCTCTTGTAAGTTGCTGGGTTCTTAAAGGGAGGGATAGTGCCTCATGCAAACATTACCTTTGGAAATTTTCCCCCAAGGCTGGTAGTACAAATAAATCAATAAACATATCTGATGTGAAACATGATTTAAACATTTTACACACCAGCTCCCAAGTTTTATGAAGATAAAACTTTCTAGGGCAAGTGTGTCATACCTGATACAAATTAAGGAAACCTTAAAAATGTCACTGAATAAAATGATGATAAATAGAACTTAAGGTTTATGTGTAACAAAAACATGATGACAACTCAAGCTCATTAAGTTGACCGTGAGTGTGAAGTGACAGAACCTGATGGTCCTTTGTTAAGATCTTTCAGATATTCTAGCCTCTGGCAGGAGGTTGAGAACCAAGTTGTGTAGACTTAGAAAAGAACATAGAAACATAACTCCGGCACATAAGAAGTGGTTTTACTTGTAGTAAATAAACTTGAGATAAAATGCTGACCAAAGTTTATTAGTGCTGTTTTACATATATTTTCATTAAAATGGGGAAGACACAATGTATTTAAACTTGATCATTTATGGTCAGGAATGATCTTCCTTATATGATTGAAATATTATGGTTCCTTGTGGGTGGGAGGGAAGTTATGCGGGGGGAAAAGCCATTATAATCCATAAGCTGTACTTTGGAAATTTATATTTATTAAATAAAAGTAAAAAATATTATGGTCCCATCATTTATTTATCTTATTTTCATCATTGCAGGTCTTATAACTTGTATACGAGGTCAAAGAAATCTGTTGCTACTGGCTACACAGCAGTAGTTCAGTTTTATTCCCCAGGAAACTAACAAATGATGAAAAAACTGGAGTTTTCATCCCAGTGATGCATAGTTAATTGCGTATAAAATAATAAACCACTACAAGAAAAAGGTGAGTGAATTCCAAAGAAATCAAAAAAAGAGAGCACACCTGAGACCCTTGAAGGAAGGAGGCATGAAATGGCAGCTCCAAGGGACCCATGGGATTCACGTTTCTTTTGGTAGCATTCGTGGTCTCTTGTGCTGGTGTTTCCTTTAACTCTGCCTGATTTTTCATTTTCTGGTTCTCTGAGCATATGTAAGATGATAGTTTTCATTACAGTTGTGAAATTTAGATGCTGTCAATTCAAGTTAACCAGGATAAACCAGAATTTATCTCTTATCACTCCAATTGTAGGAGGGAGAATGTTAACGGTCCATGTTGGTACATACCTCATCTAGTCAAATAATGTTAATGCATTGATGTTAGGTATTTGATAAACTAGTAATAAAATATTGCCAAGTTTGGAAGATTTTCCACAAAGCTGTTCCAAAGGAAAGTTGTCAGAGATACTGAGAATCAAAGTATAAATGAACATTGCATTCTAATTGACAGCCAGAACACAGGCATAGTGATGATTTTCTTTCTCCACCCTCTAAATTGCCATCGACTCATGGTCTAATATTAAGATCTTTTCTCTATCTCCAGCTCTTTCTCTCCTTTTGTATTTCCTCATGCACTACTGAATCGGCATCAGCAAATCAGTTTCTTTACTACAATATCTTCAAAATAGCACCTTGCATACTTTCCACAGCCTTTCTCTGGTAAATGAATCAAGGCGTAGTTTTTAATAGTAGCATAATCAGTTTTTCACAGTTTATCTGATTACTTAAAGATTTTACTATATTTTTAAAGATTTATTTATTTATTTGAGAAATAGAGTTACAGACAGAGAGAGGGAGAGCCAGAGAGAAAGGTCTTCCATCCCCTGACTCACTCTCCAAATGGCCACAACAGCTGGAACTGGGCCAATTTGAAGCCAGGAGTCAGGAACTTCTTGGGATCTCTCATGCTGGTGCAGGAGTCCAAGGACTTGGACCATCTTCTACTGTTTTCCCAGGCCATATCTGAGAGCGGGATCAGAAGAAGAGCAGCTAGGCACAAACCGGAATCCATATTGGATGCTGGCACCAGAGGTGGACACATAGCCCACTCTGCCACAGTGCTGGCCCTGGGTTAAACTTCTTGACTTCTCTTGAATCATCTGGAAGCAAACATGAAAAATAATTAAATGTAAATTACAATGCCATATAGGAGACCTTAAATTGTTAAATAGCGGTCTTCCTTTCTTTGTCTTGCATACTGATTAACTTATTATTTTCTTAATTTTTTGTTTTTTAAAATATTTATTTATTTTATCTGAAAGGCAGAGTTACAGAGAGGCAAAGGCATAGAGAGAAAGAGAACGAGGGAGAGGGAGACAGAGAGAGGTCTTCCATCCTCTGGTTCACTCCCCAGATGGCTGCAATGGTGAGAGCTGAGTCAATTCAAAGCCAGGAGCTTCTTCCAGGTCTTCCACACAGGTGCAGAGGCCCAGGGACTTGGTCCATCCTCTATTGCTTTCCCAGGCCATAGCAGAAAGCTGGATCAGAAGTGGAGCAGCCAAGACTTGAACCGGCACCCATATGGGATGCCAGCACTGCAGGGGTGGCTTTATCCACTATGCCACAGCACCAGCCCCTTTCTTAATTTTTAAAAAATAAAAAAAAATGAGTACATACATATACAGATACTTATGCATAGAAATTAGCTTATATGTATATGTTTATATTATTAAGTGTATATGTAAGTTAATTAGACTTTCACTAAATATCAAGTATTGGTATTAGGTTTTCTGTTGTTATAACAAAATACCTGAGGCTGGGTAATGTATACTAAAAGGAAGTTTATTTACCAAAGTTTTGGAGAATGAAAATAAATGACAAAAACCAATGATGTGGGTAGAGTTAAGGCTCATGGAAATGGACATGAGGAAGCCAACAATAAACTGCTGTTGGCAATTTTAGTTTGGGAATATATAGTGAAGTTGAAACTTTAGTAAGGGGTATTCTGATTTGTAAATTTGCTGACATGCTAAAATTTAGAATTTCAAGCTGGGTATTAATGTTGTTTTTGCAATTGATCCTAGTCTGAGTGGCAAAATAATTGTCATTCGATTGGCTTGAAATAACTGAACAAGGTAATCATTTGCATTCTTGTTTCAGTCTTTCAGTCTTTGTTTTGTAAACAAGTGTCTTTTTAGAAGACTATTTAGAACCACATTGTTTATATATATTTTTCTTTTTAGCAGTAATTTCGCTGTTTAAAATGGCTCCCAAGCATGGTGCTGAAGTTCTGACTAGTGTTTCTAAGTGCAAAATGGTTACACAATTCATCCTTTAAAGAAAATATTTGTATTAGATATGTTTAAATCAGCCATGAGTTACAGCGCTGTTGGTTGGTAGTTGCATGATAAAGAATCAGACAGATATTAAAACATCTTTTAATAAAAGCAAAAATAAAGCAAGGTAATATACTAATTAGATAATGAAATGTTGTGACCAGAAACTTGGAGCAGATTGACCTTTTTCCTCACCCTAGAAGCAATGTTTCAACATTGCTAATTCTGTGTTTGTATCGATTTTATAGCATGCAACTACTTTGATAAACAAGAATCCATTGTATATGATTTAAATTTGTTTTCTCTATGGTACAACAATACATATTCTCCATGATTCATAAAACTTAAGTAAAAATTCTTTATCAGACTTGTCTCTGTGATTAGTTTTATGTTGATGGGTTGATAGAGGAGAGTCAGGACAAGACAGAAAGTCCCAGGTTTTGTCAGGTGTCAGAATGAAGGAAAAGAGACTGTCCCAAAAACGACGGCAGAGAATTAAGGACATAGGGATTCTTAGCTGGAGGTAGAACATGTAAAACCTTCAATAGTTCACAAATGTTTGGAAAGCATATGGTCTTTCATAAGATGTTAAATGGGAACTTGAGATGCATGTCATTAGATGTTAAGTGACTGGTGTCTGGATAACACAGTTCAGAAGTGTCATACTCCCGACCCTTAACCAGTGTGAAACTGGCTCAAGTTATAAAATAAATTCACCTTGAAAACTTTACCAGCCATCGAAACCTTATTTTTATCTGGACAACTATAATTTGAATAGTGGCCATATATCATTATCGTAATAAGTACGTACTGTATAATACTTGTATACAGTTCTGATTCATTAAGCCATGAGTAATTTTAGCCAAGAATCATGACAAAGTGTCTTTCTATATTCTATATCTATTAAATAATATTAATAATAAATAATATTAAATAATAAATACTAAATAATATTAAATAATGTTAAAATAATTCCTTGAGGTTAATTTCAAAGAATTTATTTTTCTTTAGTACATATGTTTCTTTGATTTGTTCGCATTTAAAAATTTTTAATGTTATTCTTTGAGAGGTAGAGAGATGGGGGAGTGGTTGGAGACAGAAAGACAGAAATAGCAGAGGAAGAGAGAGCACATCTGCTGGTTCACTCTCCCAAATGTGTGCAGTAGCTAGGGCTGGGCCAGCTTGAAGTCATAAGCTTAATACTCAATTATGGTCTCCTACATGGATGGCATGGACCCAACTACTAAGTCACCACTTACTTCCCCCAAAGGTCTGCATTAACAAAAGCTGGAATTGGACCCTGGACTTGAACTCAGGCTCTCCAACATGTGACATGGGTCTTTTTTATTTATTAAGATTTATTTATTGAATGGAAAGTCAGTCACAGAAAGAGAGAAATCTTAGAACCACTGACTTACTCCCCAAGTGACTAGAATGGCTAGGGGTGAACCGGATGGAAATCCAGAGCCAGAAGCTACTTCCAGGTCTCCCAAGTGGGTTTCCCGGGCCGAATCACCTGGAGTATATTTTGCTTTTCCCAAGCCTTTAACAAGGAGCTGGATTGGAAGTAGAACAGCTTGTACAAGGATGTTGGTATGCCAGCATCGCAGGCAGTCACTCTACTCACTAGACCACAATACTTGTGTTAACACTGAGACATGGAAATCTTAACCGGTGTTTTAAGCACTATATTAAACACTTGCCCCAAGATTAAATTTATTGTTGTGAAATGCATATACCAATTAAGTTCTCATGTTTCAGAATCAAGAAAACTTGGAAGTGACTCCTAAATTATATGACCTCAGAATAATTTCTTAAGTCTCAGAATCTCCGTTTCTTCTAAAAATGGAAGGAATATTAGTGGTGCCAATGGCAAGACATTTTTGGGGAGTGTCTGTTGAGATTGTGATGATTTAAGTCACTTGCAAAATGGAAAGTAAAATAGGACCCAGCATAATAGAGAATTATATAAAGAGAATATAAATCTGCGTAAAACCTAAAGTATTCTTGAAAGCCCTCTGTAACTGACTTCATTAATTATTCCCTTTGCCCCTGCAATAGCCAATTCACTTGACAACCTGGAGCACATCGTTGACACACAGGTTTCTATGGAGTCTTCAGTCTTGCCAAGCACCCTGCCAGCACCAACTATCCTGTTAGCAGGTCATGGCTGGCTTAGAATTCTTCTGTGGCAAGATTTGATCAAAGCAAGATGCAGTAAAAATGACATTTTTCATTCATCTATTTATGTGAGAAACATTTTTTGAATGCCTCATTGTGTCAATCACTATTCTGGATAGCACCTTAGTTCATTAGCTGATAAGATTCCTACTCTCATGGGACTTACATTCCAACTGAGTGGTCTCACAATAAACAAGCAAAGGAGACAGTGTCGGAAAGTCATGGGTAGGGATGGATGTAGTGATGATCAGAGCAAGCTTCTCTGGGGAGATATTTTGAACTAGGACCTGAAAAATGAGAAAGCAACCAACAGGAGATTCGCACATAAAATCAATCCAGGCTGTGGGATCACATGACCACTACTTTCGAGGAGAATGAACCTGATGTGTTCCAGGGACAGAGTAAAAGCCAATGTGGCTAGTGTGTAGTGAACAAGTGGGAGAGTGTGGCTTTGGATTTGAGAAAGTAGACACAATTCAGGCAATGCAGAGAATTCCTGACTGTAACAATG